AAAAAAAAAAAAAAAAGTCTGCCTTGAGCATTACACTCTTTTAAGAACTATCTATATGGGATCAAACTGACAACAGTAACTCTAAATATTTGATAGAAACCTTAGAGAGCAATGAGTTAATGCTAATGAGGGGAGAATAACTGAGAAATGGGTGAGAATGACTGTACAACTCAAAGATTATAATCAAAAGCACAATTAAAAAAACAAATTATACATGTAGAAACTGTTGAATTGGTGTACATTTTGCTGTGTATATTCTCAACAACAAAATAAATAAGATTTAAAGCAAAGAAAAGGAAAGAGAGGATTGAAAATCAAGAAATAATTTTTTTTTAAATCTATGGTCAACTGATTTTCCATAAGTGTGATGCAGTGAATTACTCCCACCAGATTACTGGTTGGGACCATGCAAATAAGGTGTGTAGAACTTTAACACTGGGATTGGTTAGTTTTATCACTCTGCCAGGCTTAATATCAGCCTTCCTAGAGGCAGAAAGGAGAACTCACCATCATCAAGAGAGAAGAGCTGGAGGTGGAGTGGAGGGCCTCCTTGGACCGAAGTTCCCTGTGCTGGACCTCTTCAGCAGAGATGCCCAGCAGAGAGAGGCCTGGCAGAGAAATACCTGGCTGAGAGACAGCAGCAGTGGAACCAAGAGGCATGAGACAGAATGGCAGGATTGCCTGGTCCATAGAGTACGAAAGCTGAGTGCCACTGGGTAGAAAGCTTGCTGGTGAAGTGGGGTACACTTAGGTATAGCTATAGGCAGAGCTAAAAGAGCTCTGTAACACTTGCTGAGCTGGGCAAAGGCCAGGCCAAGAGGCCATGGGCCACAGAGGAGTGCCTGAGGTACAGCAGAGGGAAGACTGTCCTGATCGAAGATTTGTATCCTGAGAGCATTCCTGAACCTGATTTTGTAGCCTGTTACTTCCGTAATAAACCCCATAATCATGAGCACTGTCTGTGAGTTCTGTGTGGCCATTGCAATGAATTATCAAACTCAGCAGAGAAGTAGTAAGTGTTGTGGGAAGGACAGTTGACCTCAGAATTGGTGAAGACTGGAGAGTGGTGGTATGTCTGGCCTCATAGGAATAAGCTTTGCAAGGCTGTCGGTGGTGACTCTGTTTCCCCCTTTTGAGGTCGGAGGAGGTCAGAGGATGCTCTTTTTGCAACAGGAGTCCCAAGTCAATTCAATGGGGAAAGAAAATTCTCTTCAACAAATGGAAAAACTGGATTTCCACATGCAGAAAAATTAAACAAGATCCATACCTCACACACATCATTCACAAAAACTAATTCAAAATGGATCAAGGGCCTAAATGTTAAATTTAAAACCACAGAGTTCCTATAAGAAGATACAGAAGCAAAGCTTTGGAACCTAATATTTTTCAACAACAAATACATGAACAACAGAAAACAAAATAAATAACTTCATCAAATGAGTAAAGAGATAATCTACAGACCAGGAAAATAATCTCTGGGAACAATTTAGCTGATAAAGATCTAATATATAAAATATCTAGAAAACTTCTTGTTGTTGTTGTCATCGTTATGTGCCATCAAGTCGGACCCGACTCATAGCGACCCCTCCTTGGGTTTCCAAGGCAGTATCACTACGGAAGTAGATTGCCCCATCTTCCTTCCGAGAAATGGCTGGTGGG